ACACACACACACACACACACACACACACAGGGTCGTCTCAATATGCGTTTTTGCAATTTGCATATAGGCAAAAACGCATAAAAAGGTGTAGAAGTAGAGCAATTCAGGCCGTGGCTGGTATCAACGTACTATGGCACTGACGTATTTACGTAATCACACGGATCAAGTGGCAGCCGTGTCCACCAAATCTATCGTTTATTTTGGCGATGATGATAATTCGTATGATATTCGATTGTTTAACAATTACATAAGAAATGTGCGGAAAGTTGGAATATGGGCCGTTGGTGAGTTGTATTCATTATTACAGACATATCAGCTACAGTTCTTGCAATTTTTTTTTTCAGCACTTGAATCAGTTTTAAAAAAGATAGTCAGGTTTGGCTGGCGGAACACTGGTTGAGTCGCCGGCAGTTGTTAATAGGACGGTGGTAGGATGGAATGTGTTATGGAATAAGAAACGGAAATTTGCCACCGATATGGCTGGATTTGCCGTGGCGCTTGATGTCATACTCAAGTAAGCTAAAATTCATACTTTAAGTTAGCTGAGCTACAAACCGCTGGCACTGCCTAAATACCGGTCCAAAATAAACCATTCAGTTCGAATTGTTATTTCAGCTGATGCATACTACTGAGTTTAGTTTTTATTGAGAAACCCATGAGCAAACAAATCAGCTGATAAGTTTGTTTAGCGCTTTTCAAGGTGTTTACTAAAACTCGGCTCGATTTGGTTGCACAAAATTCTTTGGTTTTTTTCGAAAAATGCACTCATTTTTGGACTTGGGGGAAGTTGCAAAAGTCGTAATCCTACGCAAGCATCGGATTTTTGTTTGTTTTGTGGTACAATAACTGCAAAAAACGCATATTGCTGACGCCGTGTGTGCGCGCGTGTTTGTCCTAAAATCTTAAAAATTTTTTAGATTCTTAGCTTTTCTAGTTCTTGAGGTAAAAACTCGGAATCAAACGCAGTTGAACACACACACCACACCCACACACAGCCTCGCGACAACGTTCGTCGTGCGCAGCTGTTACAGTCCAAAACGCATAACAACGAAGGCAAACATGGCTATCTTTTTTTGTACATTTTTCCGACAGAGATGCAAAGCAGAAACACATTAAGATGAAAACACCTTTGTGTTTGTGTGTGTATTCGGGTTTTTATCATTCACATCCAGCTCGGCAACCGCAAAATCTAGAAGCTGGAGTTTCACAAGGGTATTCCTAGCCTATATGCGACCCATACATCGTAAAATCAACATTCGCGTATGCCTGGATCTTGTCTATGAGCGCTTAAAAATTTGATTTCTTTGATGAGTGGGCGATTTCGCGGACCAGACAGAATAAAAAGCTGAAACCCCAAATAGATATTTTCTGTCCATGTGGGATCAAAAGGTTTCAAATTCACCTGTGGTGCAAGCTCACGTTAGGCGTTTGGACACATCGAAATCAAAATGCAGAAACTGCTGGCAGAGTTTCTAGCATTGAAAACTGTCGCAAGGACGAGGCACTAAAAAGTTTGGGCTGATCAGGGCGAAAATCCGAGGGACATTTGAAATCAAACATTCAAGAGATTACAAGAGTGCTGAGCAAATTATAAGGTCCAAAGAGTATTAACATTCCTTTTTTCTTACAAAGCTCGCGAACAGAGAACAATGAAAATTTTTAAATCAGGTTGCCTTCTCCTCTCCTTTTAGAAAGCTTTGCAAACACAAAAAAGATATAATTTTTGCAGTTCAACAGCTGTGTTCGGGAAATCGTGCAAACGTGGGTTGGGCGCACCTGAAACTTGTTTCCTTGAAGATCTCGGCATTCAAATATCTGATCTTGAGCCATTCGGCTTCGAACAGGTTTCCTCATTTCTATTCGCTTCTGCTCAGATCAATAAATAACGACAAGCGGAATGCATTTGAGCTTTCTGCAGTAAGCGGCTGCGAGCACCAAATGAATAAATGCATTAAAACGCGTATAGGATTATGTTATAAATACCTTTTTGTGATCTAATCCAGCGTGTTAATAAAAAACAAATTTCCAAATTCATGTTTCCAGAGCCTAGTCAAGGAAACAAGAATAAACAAAGTAATAGTACTTGTCAGCTCCGTTAGTGGCCACAAATTTTGCTCCTAAAAGTTTATGCATGCAACTTTTTTGATTTTGAAGTTACAGAATTTGCCCAAATCTAAACATGATACCAAAGAGCAGGATCCGAAGCGCCCTGGAAGTTGATTTCAGGTTTAGGATCATTTGCCCGGCTATGTTTATATCTATAAAATTTCATCTCCTCGACTTTCGCAGCTTTAGAGTTGAACAGATGGAGGAGCAGACAGGCAAACAAACATTTCAACGCACATGGTCTTGCCTTAATCGTCAAGACATCTGCAATGCAGCACAAACACGTATGAAACTACAGTTTAAGAATTCCATGCTTCACTTTTTGTAGCACTACGAGGAAGCTTTCTGGACTTTTTGTCCAAATGTCATCGCCTAAGATACTGCTCCAGGAGAAAGTAAAACACTAATTCGAAATTTTGCGCTTCTTATGTAATGGAGAAGTTAAAAGATTTTTGTACTGAGCGGTACTGCTTTTTGTATTTGTTGGCACAATCGTTCGCAGTGCATCCATTCAGCTTATTTCAGAAGCGTTCTGCTGTGTTCAGATTTTCTTGCTGAAAGCGACAGTTTCGCTACTGGCCCTTCCAGGATCATATCGAAAACTTTTGCAGCACATGTGAAAATAACTAGGTTTATCAAAACGGGCATAAAGTTTTGGTTGTAAAGCAAAAGAATCGCTTGAAAATCTGTGTCTAAAATCGAAGTTGTAAAATACTGCGCAGTGAAAGAATGTCCATAAAAAGTTTCAAAAAAATAAGTTTTGAATTTCAGAGGGAGCGTGAAATCCTGGTCTGGCACACCAAAACTGTCAAAGTGGCCGACAACAAAAGGGTTGCTAATACCAATGGTTTTTTTGTCGAGTGATATCTTCACTCAGAAAGTTACGTCTTTTTATTTTTCATGTAAACATAAATACGAATTGATAAAAAATACCGCAGTAGCTGAGGTACCCATGTGAAGCGTTGCCTTCCCGTGCTTGCAAATTCAAAAGACGGAAATATTCCGGTCCTGACACTTTTAGCATGGTTCAGCTAGAAAAATACACTTTCGAATTCGTTTATGTAGTTTATTAGCCAGTGTTATACGCATTGTAATATTCAGAATTATCATAAAAAAGACTGCGGTTCTGTACAGAGCACGGCTTTTTCAGAGCAAGTGTTACGCATAATTTTATTCCCACTGCTCATGCTGAAGGGGGCAGGGCGAAAGATGTTAAACTTCAGCCCATTATATCGTTCTACTATAATAGCACTGTTGTCTTCGTTCATATTGCACAAGATTAAATTGTGCACATTTTTATCAACAGTTTGTAAAACACACAGTTAGCGATATTAAATATTTAAGAATTGTACAATAGAACGAGCGCATACGATAGCAGGAGTTATAGTAGTAGCAGCAACAGCGGCAGCAGCAACAGCATTAGCAGCAGCATCAACATTTTTAGCTTTCTAGAAAATGTAGGAGCGTTTTCTAACTGATCGAATACAGCTTGAAAACCACTTTTGAAAATTTGTCTTCCTAATTCAGAAGGTTCATCAATACAGCAAACAATTACAAATCCTAGAGTATGAAATTACTGGACGAAAAGGAAGTGACATATTTGAAAACCTATTGTTATTAGAGCTACGTCATCTACAACACTGAAGGTCAATTGAAAATAGAAAATTGATTTGCACTTCCAGAAAACAGTCCGTAACTGTATGAGATGGTAATTTAAAGAAAAGGGAAAAAAAAGGAAAATTCAGTTTTATCAAGGACAGAATGTGGCCTTACCCTTAGGCCTAGCAAATCTCTTAATAACTCACTGAACAATTTTATCATTCACTGCAACAACGTATTGTCAAATACAAGCATTACTAGCACCGACATAGTTTTATGTGAAAATCTGGAAAACATAGTTTCTTACATTTCGAGAACTTGAAAATTACTATGGGATTATTAAACCACAAATGGGGCGATTACCAGAACTAGACACAGATTTATAGCGAGATCGAGTTTGTCGTGACTGAAATTTAACAGTTACGCTTTACTAACTACGAAATTGGTAACGCGCGACATGTGCTCTGGAGTTTGAAACATGCAAATCGTGCGGATGCGTCAGTGCACAGAAATTTTCACAGTGTGTCTAACTTGATAGGGAGTTAAAACTGCTTTCAAATCAAGCCGTGGGAGAAAAGTTGTGTGCCAGGACGTGACTGCTGTCGCTCAAATTAATTTCTAGTTCATAGAATGGAATATAAAGAATTACGTCCAGAACAGGAGGGGTTTAATTTACTGTTTTCACTGTTAGGAAAAATTGTGGGTAGCGAAAAGAAAAAATGCTCGAAAAATCGACACATTGTGGGCCTGACCGATCGTTCTAACCTTTATTTGCAGGTGTGAACAAGAACTTTTTCTGTGCAAGCCTTACATTTCACTGAGCAGCACCAAACAAACTTGCAATGACATTGAACTGTACGGATTTCTTCCTTCGTATTGTATCCGCGACCGCAGCAAAGCAAATCGCAGCTGTCTGCATTAAGCGACGACTGATTACATTCCCGACCATGCGTCCCTAAGATACCTGAAGTCCTCACTTTTTATGCGTTTTGTGCTGTGCAGCAGTTGCAAAAAACACGTATTGTCACGGGGTTGTCTGTGTTTATATATATATATATATATATATATATATATATATATATATATATATATATGCG